GGAGGGGAGAGGAGGGGAGAGGAGGGGAGAGGAGAGGAGAGGAGAGGAGAGGAGAGGAGAGGATAGGATCAGCGGCAGACCGCATTCGAGGGGACTCGAAAGCCGTGCGTGCGTGCGTAAGCTACGCATCGCATCGCATGGCATCGCATGGCATCGCTATGCTCACTCGTAGATGGTGCGGTGCGATCCGTCGTTTGGTTTGCCGCCGGGATCGTCGGACCTGAATCTCTGCGCAGAAGTGTGTATGTGCATCCCAGCGGCATGCTGTCCATTCAAGGAGCGCGCGGCACGAGCGGCGCTGCTTGATGCGCTGAGAGATGTGCTCTGTCGTGGTGCAGCCAGCGAGGGTGTTGAGAAGGGGGAGTTGCTGGGAGCGCTCAGGATAGCGCGCGCTCGAACACCGCCGTTTCGCAGGGCGTGCGCTGCCATTGTGGATAGCGCGACGAGGGTCGGGCACAGTGAGCGGTGGGCCTAAACGCGAGGCGAGGTGAATGAAAGTGAGGATGTGCGCAGCGAGTGGTCTTGTGCGTGTGTAGTAGAGTGTGAGCGTGTGTGTGTGTGTGTGTGTGTGTGTGTGTGTGTGTGTGTGTGTGGGAGAGAGGGGGAGAGAGTCTGAGTGGACTGGAAGAAGGGGAGTGAGCCGAATCTCGTAACCCTCCACTTTTCACCTCACCGCCTCGCTCGTCAGATCACGTGCGTGGGCCATACAATCGTGAAGTAAAGGTGCGAAGTTTGATTCAAATCGCGCGCCGCTCTTTAGCTGAAGCACGCACGCACGCACGCACGCATGCACGCGTACAAACAAGGCCGCTTTCGACTCACGACGTCCCGCTGCTGCTGCTACAACAGTCGTGAGTCGTGAGTTGTGAGTGTGAGTCAAAGTGTGAGTGGATGGAGCTGTCATGACGGTTTGGTTCACGCTTGCACCACACGCTCAAGCTCCCCAAGTCGAGCGAGATTCACATTGCGATTGCGATTGCGCATCCGTGCGTGCGTGCCTCCATTCGGACGAGTCAAGTCAGACAAGACACCGAGACGAGACGATCATTGCAGTGCAGTCACGAGTCAAAGGACGGAGAAGGGGAGGGGCCGTCGCTGCTCATCCAAGCATCGCATCCGCATCCGTGCAGCGAGCCTTTTTCTTCTGTGTGGGAGATTCATCTTGACAGGCAAGCTTACAGGGAGAGCGTTCGCAGTGTGGCGCACGGCAACACGGTGCATCCTCATCATCATCACACCATCGCATCGGATCAGAGATCAGGATGAGCAGGGAAGCAGGTAAGATACCGGGTGCTTCATCGCCGCCCCCTTCCTCGCATCCGCCGCAGCAGCAGCCAGATGAAGCTCGAGGAGCGCAGCAAAAGCCGAGCACATGGCTCGTCTCTGCACGCCGAACGAACGTCTGGCTGAGACGCATCTCTCACTTGTCCGCTTCCGCATTCGGCGTGTTTGTGATCGTACACATCAGCGCACCCGTCGTCGCTGCCATAGCGCCACCCAACTCTGCGCAAGAATGGGCAGGCAAGACGATGGTGAGTCGGAGGGAAATCCGAGCTGCAAAGATCGAGGCTGGTAGGGGAGAGATCCCATGCAGGGTTCGGTCTTGCCCTCCGCCGAAACAAGATGCGGCGGGGCGAATTTCTCATCGCGCTGTGCGCATACACCCTTTTGCCATATGCATGCGCATCCTCTTTCCCTTGTTATCGAGCGCCCCCTGCTGACACTCTTTCGCTCGGCTCTGCTTCTGCGTCAGCTTCTGGGAAGAGTGTATTATCAGGGCGCATGGTCTGAGCCTGTGCTGGTCTGGGCAATGCTCGGAGCGCACATCAGCTCTTCGCTGTCCAGGCGGCTATTGAGATCCACCGCTTCGACCACCTCTCCCGTCACCCAGCGATTCAAGGCACCCTCATCGCATACCACCAGCGCTATCATCCTCCTACCCCTCCTCGCGCTTCATTCCCTCACCACTCGTCTGATGCCCGCACGAAAAGGGATATCCGAAGTGCTGGATCATTCTTTCGTAGCCAGGGGGTTCCAAACATGGCCCTTGCTCAATTGTTGCTCGTATGCGGCCCTGTTAGGAGCCATGCTGATTCACAGCATAGGTGGCGCACGTCGCATCTACTCGACATGGAGACCGACCCTGCGCTATTGGAGACCCGGCCGTGACTCGAAAGCTGCTGCTGCTGCGTCAGATGCGCTGCTGGATCCAGCAGCGCGCAAAGACGAAAGAGGAGCGCGAGCTCTGGCGAGAAAGATGGATGCGCGCATCAATGGCAAGAGGAGGAGGGACGCCACGCTGCTTGGAGGAGGTATCGCCTCGCTTTGGCTAGCTCTGGGATTGACAAGGATCGTAGCCGACGGCGCAGATGTGGGACCGGTCATGTTGGAAAAGGTGAGCTGCTGCTGCTGCGACCGACGTCGACGGATGGTTTTGCGCTCCATTACTCTGACACGAATCGAGCCCCTCTCGTGCGTCGAAAGTACGACGCTTGCTATCTGGCTGTATGGCCTTACAACGTAGTGCGCCGAGTCGGACGCTAGAAGCTCATCGATCATCGATTGAGCCAGATCCTCTTTGCCGACGCAACGACCACTCTCCCGTCAGCCTGTAGTGATACCTTTTTCCTGCTCACCGTCCGACAAACAGCCTGCCCTGCCTTGCTGCTGCGACTTTGATATGTATCACGCCGCTCTTCTTCGGTATTGAAGGTTCGTATACCACTTGCGAACTCCATCGCCAAGCGCGGGCATCATCGTTTCGCGTTTGCGTTTGCGATTCGGTTGGGCATGGCTGCAGAGCGTGGAGCGACATGAATGGGGATCGGAGAACCTCTCGTCTTGAAGGGTGATTATCTGACAATGGCGAGGGGGCGAAGTTCTCGCATTGGGAGGAGCGGAATGTTTGGGCAAGATGCGAGAGAAGGTTGGCATGACTGTTGTACTTGCACATCGACAAAGTCGCCAAGTAGAATTCTCGGAGTGAGAGTGCAGCCCTCCTTTCCATCGTGTATGGGCCATCTTTGTATCATCCCATCGCAAACATTTCAGGCGCCATGGCGTCTTGCAGGAATTTCCTTGGGGAGCGGGCGGGTCAAAGCGCGAGCATGAGTTGTGATTCGACGAGTGAAAGGCCTTCCTCGCGTGGCCTGATCCCCCCCTCTCTCGGGGCGCTCACCTCGATCTCTTTTCGAAGGGCTTTCCAGTGCGTCCTCAAGCTGGCCTTCGTTCGCGCGTGGCCTGAAGCTTGCTCTGAATGCCAAGTGGACGGGCGGGGGATGTTCCCCAGGTGGAGGGATTCGCGCATGAGCGAAAAGCCGCATAAAGTGGTCAGGAGAGATCTGGAGGGAACAGCCAAGACTCTTGCTCGGGTCTCTTTAGCCAACACAGACTGCCCCGTGCTCACCAATCTCGGTAGCCAATGCGCTGCGAATCGCAAAATGTAAAACGGCAACGAGGAGCGTGTTAGTCGCGAGTACGTTTGGCTCAGGACGACGTCGTGCACGTGCATGCGCGTGGTGTGCATGCGCATATTTGTTGGCGATCACGCATGACGACGACGAGGCCAAGTCGATCGACGCGGTGCGCGTGTCATGATGACGGACGACAAGATGGGGGGGGGGCAGCGATGGGAATTGGGGAAGCAAGATTCAGCGGTGCGGGGGCCCACGCAGCCTCACCTCCAGTCGGGTTTGAACTGATTCATGATCGCCTTGACCCAAACCTCATCTTCTTGCCTTGTCCAAGGCACGCTTTGCGCTCCCCCTTTGCCCCCTCCCGCCGCCGCGGCCGCCATCTCGCCCTTTGCCTTTTTGGGACGAGGCTGCTGCTGGAGGCTGCATGCTGCTGCTGCTGCTGCTGTGCGCGACTTGCACTTGGTCGGCGTGGCTGGCACGCAGATGGAGGTCGAAGCTTTGTCTCGCACGTCTTTGTTTGCTTCTTCTTCTTCTTGTTGTTGTTCCTGCTTGCAGATGGACGAGGCTGCACGTTTGCGAGAGGAAGAGGTTGGCGTGGATGCATGGGTGGACATTGTGAAGCCCTTGAATGCAGATGGAATGGCCAGCTAGGGGATGCTTTGCGAAGGCGAGCAAAGTAAGTATGAATATTCCAGCTCCTTCGACGAGTCACGAGCCACGAGTCACGACTGCACTCGACAGTCACTGGGAGAGTGGAGGATTGCGAGAGGGAATGGTGAATCAAGATGACGGCTGGAGTGACGGGCGAGGTACGGGTCGACATGCACTTGGATGGGAAACGCATTCATGCGTGCGTGCAGCATTTCTTTTTCTCTGCCCCAAACGTCGGCAAGCGAGCAGTCTCCCATAAAGAAGTTCTTGGCCATCGAGCAGCACGCGCAACCTCGACCGCAGGAACTGCTATGCACACGCTCGAAAGGGGGGGAGATACACGATAATAAGCTCATCTTCCGTTCATCCCACAAATCTGCGCCTGGAACATCTCGTCGAGTCAATCACGAATGGAGCAATCAACATGCCTTTCGCGTGTTGTTTGAATCTTGCTGCGCGGGCGCGTTCTTTGGCCGTTTTTGCGCGTACGCGGGCCATATATGCTGTCTGACACTCACAACTTAATTACTATGAGATCACATTGCTTTGTGACAACGAACGAATTACGAATGTCGAATGTGACGTGACGAAACGTCGATCGAGCATGCGCAAGTGTCTGTCTCATCCAGCAAGTTGGAGAGTAGATTGCCGCAATCGCAATGCAGCAGCGCAGCGCAGCGCAGCGTCCACTTCTCAGTCGATCGTGGGTACGTAGCACTCGGCGTGCTTTACGGTCTGTCGCTGCATAGTCATTCGATCACGGTTCGTCGCTGTAGACATGCAGATCACAGATGCTATATGCAGGACATCACCCACATCATGGTGATATGCAGCTTCCGCGCGTGCCGTATACCACGGATCTCTCGCGTGCGATGGATGGGCGTTTTGCAAATGAGAAAGAGATTCGACGAGCCCCATATACGCGAGAGCAAGTGAAACACAATTGAAACGCGCTGGTAACGTTGATTCAGATTGGAAGACAGCCATGCAGCAGACGATGTGCATGGGTGCGAATGATGACTGAGATGATCTGCGAATCTGCTGTTGGTCAGGTACGTACTGCCCGCGCGGAGCGACTTTATTTTGCCTTGATTCTTGGCACGCATGGGATGCATTGCATCACTTATTCTTCACGATTGTACCATGTAATCTTGGTGAATCATATAGCGACATTGATGCGCGCGCGTTCAACCATGACGACGTCTAACCACGTCCTTTGCCGTCGAATCAAGACCACAAGTGCGGGGTCATGATGGGAGACAAAAGCACAAGCAAAATGTCCGTCAGAATAGAGTGAAGCGGAACCATCTGCTCTGCGGCTCGCTCGCGATGCCTATAGCTCACCTCGATATCCTTTCGAAGCGATTTCCAGTGCGTTCGCATGCTGCTGTCTGCGCGCTTCGCTCCGCACTGTTCCTCTGTCAAGAATTGCTTTCGGACGTGAGAGATATGTTCCCTACCAAAACTTTGGGCAGCAATAGAGATATCTCTCGCTTGACTCACCCAGCTTGCTAGATAGAGCGCTGCGATTCGGGGGGAGGTTGATATTGCCTCACGACACGTCAGCTGCATATATGCCTTGTTTTGGTCATTCGCCTTCTTGTGCTGTGGACGACTGCATAGCCCCAGTGCCGCGCGAATGCGGATTGTTCTCCCCCCCTCGCCCCCATGCACCCCCTCATCTCTAGCAACCTCGCTCACCCAAAATTAGGTTTGTAGTGCTCCAGCATATCCCTGATCCACAACTCATCCTCCTCTCTGGACCAAGCCACACCACTTCCCGCGCCGACGCTGCCCTCCACTCTGGGCTTTTTGGGACTTGTAGCAGCAGCAGCAGCAGCAGCAGCAGCAGCAGCAGCAGCATTAGCTGTCGTGCTGCTGCTGTTGCGCTTTGCCGACGCGACCTCCCTCGTCTCGCTCTGCTTGCACCCCACACCCCCCACTTTCCCATGGGCATCAGCTTTCCGCTTGCTCGGCGTCCGAGGCGTCGACATTGTAGAATTGCGCCTCGGGGCACAGAAAGTGTGTGAGAGAGAGAGAGAGAGAGAGAGAAAGAGAGAGAGGAGCAAAGGCGGCGAATTGGACGGAGATGTCAATGAAGCCCTCGATCTGGTGGATGCTTGACAGCAAAGCAGTCACGGTGGCACGTAGAGTGCAGTACGCAAGATGGCACGCACGTCGGGGTGTGGGGGATCGTTTGAAGGGATCAAAAGGATCAAGACTTGGAACTTGGCACGATTGCAAGGCCAAGAGAAAATAAACCTCTGTAGGCATCCATCAGGTCTTCGTAGAGGAGAGCTGCAAGACCGGAGAGATCGAATTCCCTTGATTGTAATCGTCGCAATCACAAATGCTGCGTGTCGTTCGCAGAGACAGGCTGGATGCCGCAAACAACAGCACGTACGCTCCCTTTGCCTTGTGCAAGCAGCAGCTGCGCCCACGCACGCACACTCGTGACTGCTTCACGCAGACAAGACGAGTCGCCGTGCAACGTGAACGTCTGACACGCGATTGCGCCAAGTCCGAAACAAATCACGGCACTCACGACTGTCACAATCATGATCGTCCATGCTGCGGCGAAGCGTAGCACGCCCATCGCGGCTTGACCGTACGCGACCCAATCTGAACCGTCGGAGGTGCGCGCGCATCTCTCGTCTCGCCTTTTGATCACTCGAGTGTGGCTGCTCGTGTCTCGCGAGTCGCTGGATCGCGCATCGCGCATCGCAGCCCCGCGTGACCACGCGCATTTAATTGAATCACGGATGGCTGCATCGATCGACGCTGCGTCTTAATTGCACGATCCATCGTTTCCCGAAGCAGCAGCAGCTAGGTCGGCCTCCTCAGCATCATCAGCTAGGCACGCCTAATCACATCCCGCACGCTGCATGGCGGCGGTGACGCATGAAATAGGTGGAGCAAGGGAATTGCCCGATCGCATCGGACCCCGATATCTTTACCTCATAAGTGACAAAGGCGGGGAGGGGGGGGGGGGGGGGGGGGGGGGGGGGGGGGGGGGGGAAAGAAGGGTCTTTTTGAGACGTAGCTGAATGGGAAATGGCCGCGTGTGTATGGTGTGGATGAAGGGGGCAGCGAGGTCGATTCGATTCGAAGCGAGCCATCTCGTATGGGCCTCGCGCCGCACTGCTGCTGACAATCGAATGTCGAAGACTAGATGTGCGTGCTCCGGGCATAAGCAGGAGAAGCGTGATCGTACTCTTGCACAAAGATTCGCTTTTGATTCTTTGCCATGAAGCTGCTCCAAACGTGATGCCGCATCCGAATCAGTGCGAGAGCTCGGCACGAGCGTCTTGGTTGCCCGCGCGCGCGTCCGCCAACACTCACCCCAAGAATTCGGACAAGTGCTCGCGCAGCAGGCTCACAGAATCCGCGTCCATCGTCGTGTGCGCGATGATACCCGGCAGGTTTACTGCCGAACAAGCGAGGGGCTCTAATCAGAATACAAACACAACGCGAGCGCCGAACCACTCACCGAACAATCGCAGCAAATGCTCGGCGCCGTAGCACTCGCTGGGCTCCAGCTCTACAGGAGACTCATTGGCGGCACCAGCGGCAGCAGCAGCAGCAGCAGCAGCCGCCGCCGCCTTGCCATTGACCGCCGTAGAAGCGTGTCTTTTCCTCAGCTCCACGTATTGCGCCCGCTCGAAGCGATACAGCAAATTGTTGCCCAAAGACTTGTCAAAGTAGAGCTTGAGACCCGACAGGACCTCATCCACCACTGCCGGCAGACGCCTGCGTCACGAGAGAACACACGTCAGGCTTCAACAGCCTCACAGCACAAGGGAATGCGCGATCCTGACTTGCGCCTTGCTCACCCAGCCTTTTCCTTTCGCCCCTGCATGTAGTACTCCTTGTACTCGTCGAGCAAATCGCCTACTGTGGGCTTGCGAGGTAGGGGTACAAGCTGAGGGGCAGAACGTGCGATCAGCGCGCGCTCTTCCACGCAAGAAGCTCGCCTGACGGTGGACGCACCTGACCCTTCTTTGTGATGTTCTCCCAATCATCGACCAGCTGCAGCTTGAGAGCGTCCGGAATGACGAGTTTGATTTCTGGTCGCTTGACATACTCGTCCTCCTGCGAGTGCATGCGTGAGAGAGGGCGATCAGGTCGTGGATCGCGAGCGATCAGCCAGCTCGGCCGAGTTCCATCATGGATCGCGAGCGATCAGCCAGCTTGGCCAAGTTCCATCCCAAATCGAGGTCGCGCTCACGCTGACACTGACGCTGACGACCTCCACTCACATTCTCCACAGTGTCCCTGCCCCTCTTTGTACCTCTGGACTCTTTCTTTGACCGAGCTGCACCCTCGCCATCTCCATCAGCACCACCGGCGCTCCTCCTACCGCCTGCTGCGGCTCTGCTGCTACTAGGTCCAGCATCATTGGCAGCAGCAGCAGCAGCAGCGGCAGCAGCTTTGGATTTGCGAGCTTCGATCAAAGCTTTTTGCTTCGCCTTGTTCTCCTCGTTGAGCTTCAGCAGACGCGATTCGGGCACCCACTCGTCCCACCTACGCGGGTGAATGAGCAGCAGGTCTTTTGAGCGCCGCACCACCACCTCGAGAGAGAGAGAGAGAGAGAGAGAGAGAGAGAGCCTGCAGCAACGCCTTCCACACTCACGACTTTTTCCAGCCATCGTAGTGCACGAAAAAGTGTGGACCCGTCGCTCCCTGCGTATTCTCATCTCCTGTCCACTTCTCCGCCTTGAGCACCTGGACGACGGCCCCCCCCCCGGAGTGTTGACATTGTTTCAGCAAGGGCCGCGAGACGCGCGCACGCAAAGATCGTGAAAGCGAGATGCTTCCCCAGCAACGCACCTTGGCTTGGTATATCAAGGGACCATGAAAACACAGCACCTTCTCGTCGACTGCGTACAGCATGACTCTGTTCCTCCGAGCTGACGTCCTTGAGCCTCTTGTTCTTGCTACTCTTGAGCTGGTGGCCGCTAGCGGAAGCGAGAGCAGAGGTTGGCGGATGTGCAGCAGATGGGCAGATGCTGCTTGTGTGCGATGGATGACCACGCGGTGACTCGTGACTAACAGTTGGTCCCTGGAATCGTGAATGTTCGTCTCTTTCACCAGTAGTGACGCCAAGTATTCAAATCACAATCTTGAATGCCAAAAGAGTAATCATCAAAGGTGAATTGTCTCGGCGTACGCGAACAATCGAGGGAGCCAGGAAGTGAGTTACGATGGAGTCGCACGCACGCGTGCGATCAGCAGCAGGTACGCAGCATACGCGCGCTACACCCGCCGCGCGGCCGCCCATGCATCGCGTCCCTCTGCGCGCGCGCGTGAACTCAAACCTCCAAAACAGCTTATTCTGCATGCGCGCCGCGCGACGCGAAGAGCGGCGGGATGCTGTGCGCGTAAGCGCACTGACCATGCGATCAAACAACGGTCTGGCATGCGCCATCTCCAGCATCACGGTCAACAACAGCATCATGATCCAGCAGCACCAGCACAAGCATGCGGAAAAATGCTCGAGATCCAGTTGCAGGGGCGAGTTTCGGTCACGCGGACGCCTATAGCTGATGCTCGTCGTGTCCGTGCCACGGCTGATGCGTCCGGTGAACAAATCGAGAAAATCCACAGAGTCACAACAGACTCGAGACCTCGCAAAGTGAGGCTGCACAGCCAGCGAGCCTTTTGCCTGCTGCTCATGCAAGGGGGGGGGGGGGGGGGGGGGGGGGGGGGGGGGGGGGGGGGGGGGGGGGGGGTTCCCACGCTCAACACAAGCGTTTCCCCTGCCCAATCAAGACGTGCTGCATGCACGACACAAAGTTTCGTCCGAGGCGACAGAGCCCCCCTCTTTTATCCCCCGCTCTCGAGTCTGAACCTCCTCGCATCCCCGCCCGTCTTTCGTTGTGGAGGGGATGGAGCGAGAGATGAGCGCAGTGTCGGTGTCGGTGCAGCGACCAGGATGACGACGTCTCAGCAGGATGGCCAGCGCGCAAGTGTCGGAGCTTGAGCAGGCCACCCTCATCCGACCCCGCTCGCTCACGATCTGCCCCCTCGAGTGTCGGCTGAGAATGTTAATCAAGATGTAGCCTTCACTTCTAGCTGGGACTTGGAGAAGGGGTCACGCGCAGAGCGGTCGGGTTCACGCGATACACGATTCACGATTGTTAGTATGATGCAGGGCGCTTTCTGGATGTCCCTTGGCCGAGGCCGACTTGCCTGGCCCGACGAGAGACGAGGACGCATGGTTGGCTCATACCGTGCGGCACACAGCACGACGTACCAATCGACTCCAGTCCGTCACCCGAGAACGTAATCGTCTCACGGCTTTTGCTTCGCCCTGCTCCGGGCCATCGCTTTTGCGACTCGCGCGAGAGCCCAACGTGACGAAGCGATACAAGTCCACGTCTGCTCGCGCTCAACGTGACGAAGCGATACAGTCCACGT